CATGACAAATTGTCTCTAAATGATCAGCTTCAGTTTCAGTTCTTACTTCATCAGAGACTAGGAACAAACTGTTCTTGGGCTGAGTTGGTCCATGAATCACATTATAAACTGTACTGAGCTAGATCATAAAGGATTTTATAATGAAGGCAATGTGAAGCCACTCAAATATATTTTTTCTCATTTCCTTTTTTGTAAATAATAGCCTTTACTAGGTAGTTTACAATGGCAAGAGAAAGATATTATTTTAAAGAGTGGCTCATTAAACAATAAATTCCTTTGCAATGATAGACTAAGAAAAACACTGACAGCACATATAACAAAGGGTTGATTTCCCTAAAACCAAAAAATACCAACAGTTTGATAGAAAACAGGCAACAGACCATTCAGAGAAAGTAATTATTAATACTCTTTATATACAAAAACATGCTCAACTTTACTAACAAACACAAATATAAACTATTGAGATACTATTACCTAAAAGACTAGCAAAATTCCAAGCTTGACAAACCACTCTATTTGGTTAGGGAAGAAAAAGCAACCTGGTGGTATTACTCCACAGGTGTATCAATTAGTACACTCCCTATGGGAGGTACAGACCCATTAGTATAGTCATGAAACCATCCACAAATATCCTGCTCTATCTCTCTCAAGGTCTGTCATACTACTCACTGGAGTCACGGAAGGCTATAGATAATGCTTTGGCAAGGGAAATGTGAGCAAAAAAGATACATGTAATTTCTGGACAGAAGTTTCAAGACCCATAGCACAGCTTGCTATGTTCTTTCTCATTTGTTAGCTTTTCTTTCCATTTACCATTGTGACTGGCAATATTTCAGATGCTGGTTGCTCCATCAGCCTGAATTACAGAAAGGAGACAACTTAAAGCAGAACTCGGACAAGAAGACATGTAGTTTAGTCGGGGATTTAGCTCAGCAGTTTGGTGGCCTGCCTTGCAAGCGCAAGGACCCGAGTTCAATTCCCAGTACCAAAAAAAAAACAACAAAAAAAACAAAAAACAAGAAGACATGTAGTTTAAGCAAGAAACAAACATTTGTACCAGGTGTGGTGGTGCACACCTGTAATTCCAGCAATTGGGAGGGTGGGGCAGGAGGATTGCTGTGAGTTCAAGGCCAGTCTGAACTACATAGGGAGACCCTGTCTCAAAAAAAGAAAAGAATATTTACTGTTTTTAAGCCACTGACAAATGAGTATCAATTTGGCAATATGTATTAAAATAACAAATTCATTCTCCTCTAAGATATACTTGCACACATGCAAAATGATAAATGTGAAAGGTTTCTCATTTCTAACATGATTTATACCAAATGACTTGGAAAAGAGGACTAGCCAAATACTTGCAGTACATTCACACAATGGAATATTATACAGTTATAAAAAATGAAAAATTACTAGACCTTATAAGGAAGGATCTCCAAGTAAAAAAGTAAAGAATATCCTTAGTGTGAGATTAAAACATATACAGTATTCATATTAGCTTATATCTGCATAAAGAAATTTTACATTGATAAAGTAACAGAAATGATTATCTTGGGAAGAGGGGTGATGGGGTGAAGACAGAAATTTGATTACTCAGGAGGGGGGGTAAATCCTTGATGTTGTCATTTATATTATTCTATCTCATCTCAACCATTTTTCTGGCAAATCTCATCTTAAGTGTAATTGGTATGTTTCTGCCTCTATTAGAACCCTCTTTAAATTCTAGCCTTTCTTTTAGTAACTAATAATCAACTATCAGTTACTTTATCTGTATTTAGAGTATCTTCAGTATTGTTCCACTCAATCAAATAATAACAGCTCTTATTTACTCTTTTTCTTTCTTTCTTTCTTTCTTTCTTTCTTTCTTTCTTTCTTTCTTTCTTACTTACTTACTTACTTACTTACTTACTTACTTACTTACTTACTTACTTACTTTCTTTCTTGGTTTTTTGAGATAGGGTCTCATTATGCAGCCCAGGCTGGCCTTGAACTCACAGTGATCCTCCTGCCTTAGCTTCCTAAATGCTGGGATTACAGGTATGTGCCACCACAGCCAGCTGTTCTTATTTACTCTTGACCATGACCTTTCTTTGATGATTCCAAATTTTAGCAATTGTGCTGCAACACTTTTCTTTTTCCTTTTGGAGAGATAGAACTATCTCCTAAAAACTCATAATTTAAATGTGTCTGCTGTAATATATTCTTATTTTTCTCATTTAGAGATTTTCTTTGACTTGGAGATGATTCTATTTTCCTTTATAATAAGAATTTTAAAACTCTTAATTTTTTTTCCATTAAGTTTATTGGTACATTTAAAGCAAACAATACAGTTACATTTATCACTGGGATCTTGTACCTTTACATGATATATCTTAGTTCTTGTTAGAACTCTTAATTAATGAAAAATTAGAAATAAAAAATTAGTAGCATAACATTGATTCTAAATGTTCATCTAATATATTCATTTACCTCATTTTAGTCTAGATCAATAGACTTCAACTGTTTGAGAGTAGGCAGCCTTATCAAAGCATATATGGCTCAATAAATATAAACTTATTCATTTAAAAATTATATTCAGGTATAATGTAATAATATGTTACTTTAGAAAGCTAAAATGGGAAAGTATAAAGGAAATATTTGTTAAAATATTTACTAATGATAATAGTTTTTTCTGTCACTAGAATACTAGCAGCAATAATTTTTTAGTGAAAACAGTGTGATATAATATACATTATTTTTTAAATCTTGTTTAATATTTAATTATAAAATGACTTGAAGGTTTGGTTCCACATTCAGTTAATTTAATTCTTGGTTTTCATGGCTCTCAAAGCTAAGTAAGATACTGATACTTCAATCACATGAAAAACATATAACTGGTTCCTATGTGCCAATTTTTCAAAGATTTTTTGAAATTTGGCTAATAAATTATCTTCTCACATCAGTCAACTGTTTACAAGAGTCAGAAATATTTTTGTTATTTTTAACAAATAAGTTCAAACCTTAGGTTTTTAATGTATTAATACTCTCTAAGATTTTAGAGCATGCAGTTGTAAGTTTTTATTGGTAATCCTCATTGTTTCAGATAACAAGAGAACACATACACACATTTATACAAATGGAAGCATTTTCAAACATGTGTTCAAAATGCTTTCTCCAGATGGGAATGGCAAAACAATGCTTGTAATCCCAGCACTATGGAAGGCTAAGGCAGGAAGATAGGAAGTTTAAACCCAGCCTGGGCAATTTAGTGATTTAGTGTGACCCTGTATCAACATTTAAAAAAAAAGGATGGGGATGTAGCTCAATGTGAAGAATCTAAATTAAATTCCCAGGACCAGTCAGTACCCCCCGCAAAAGAAAATGCTTTTCTCCAAAGTAGCACCTTTGCAATAATTAAAATACTACCTTCTACATGAAAGATCAAAATAAGGATGCTTATATGAGGTGAGGCCAGAACAATTTGAACATCAAAATAAATGAAAGTAATGGACTACAACTCATGTAATAACCACACAGGAATCCATAAGCCTGTGCCACCAAAGGAGAAAAGAGAAATCTTCTTATAGAACACCAACTAATTAATGCAGAAAAGATATGAAGTTACCATTTGGCAACCACCATTAGAGGTATCAATGGATACCTAGTAGAGATTTGATGAAGAACAAGATACCGACAGTATCACATGTTCTATAAAGCACGTACTAATTACAAAGGAAAACGTGTGCCTTGACAGTGGTGAAACCTGTACAAACATAACTTAACCAAATGATTAAGGCTAAGATTAAAAACAGCAGGACAGGCTGACATCATGCAATGCAATGAAAGGAGTACAGTATGGTTTCTGTGTAATTCTTACCAAGAAAGCATGGCCTGAGTGTAAACCTAAGAAATACTGAATAGACCAAATTTGAAGAACACACTACAAAATGAAAAGGCTTATAACATTTAAAACTGTTGAGGAATTGTATTAGACTAAAGGAGATTAAAGAGCTGTAACTACTAAATGCAACATATTATTTTGGACCAGGTTCTGCATCAAAAATGAAAAAGAGACACTGTTGAAATCATTGGTCAAATTTGTCTGGGTCCTAATGATAGTAGTGTTTTCACTGTTGTTTTCCTGATTTGGATGGTTCAATTGTGATTATTTAGGAGAACAGCCTTATTTTTAGGGAAACACAAACAAAAGTATTTGAAAGTGACAGAATACCATGTATCCCACTTTCTCTCAAGTGGTTCAAAAAAGACTGCTTGTAAAGGAGGAGGAGCAATAAAGCAAACATGAAGTTTCAATTGCTGGAGTAAAGGATACAGAACCAACTTTCCCTTATATTTGAAATTATTTTTAAAAGGGTATGTTAAAAAAAGAGGTATATTTACACGTGTGAGCATGTCTGCATTTTTAATATCTTTCAAATTTTGTATTATTGACAACCACATGTCATCATTCAAAAACATCCCTTCTGCCTATGGATGCCTGTCTTACTGATACACATATAAGGACAGGTCAAGTCCATAACACTGAAAATGGAAAAATACCTATCTTTATTTTTACCTTTTTAAAAAACATTTTTTCAGATCTCAATGTATGATGCTTTGAGTCTTGAATTACGGAATCCTAGAAAAATCTGTGTACCCTATTTCTGGTCGGATATGTATCACTCAGTAGTACTTGAACTGTCTGGCTAAGGAAAACAACTGGCCTAAGAGGTCTAGATATAGCCCTCTACTTAAACTCAAACTTAAATGGCTTCAAAGATATACATAAATAAACTTATAACTGTACCATTAGACACTCAGCTCACTAGCTCTATTTGATTTCCATTAATCAGCATACAAATAATCAAGGCCACCTCCATCTCTTAAGGCTCTGGTTTAATTGCCATGCACCCCCAGAAGCACATGTAAGAAGATGACTAATCACTGACTGTCTCTCAAGCACCATATGGCTCCCAATTTCAAAAGAAAAATTGTCCCAACCATTATTGGAACAGATTTCCTACCTCCTGCAGCTGGAGTCGAACCTTGGTAACTGCTCGGATCCAGTGTGCTCTGGCATGAGTAAATGGTGAAGATGCATTCTCCTCAGGAAGACTTGTAACAAAGGAAAGAATGTTTCTTAAAAATAGTCCATGCCACAAGGTAACAGTGCTCTCAAGGTAAGATTGCCAAATATCTAAAATAAAATGGTTTTTACTCATGCCTACACTTGTTTAGTGATTCAGGCCACTAAAACAGCACAATCCTGAATACTTAATGTGCAAACAAGTCCTCTCTAAAATGACAGCTCCTTTTAGCTTTTCATCTGTTCCTATTCTTCCTTCTCCTGCATTTGCCCAGTAAGGCAGCTTACTGGAACAGTCTTGGATCATGACACTAGAAAAAATGGCAAGAATCTTGAGTCATTGACAAGCACAGAAACCACACAGAGCTATAGAAGCCATTCAACCTCTCTCACCTAACTCTTAAGACCAGTAACCAACCATGGGGTTTTGTTGTTGTTGTTTTTCTTTTTTAGTACTGGAGAACAAACTTGGGACCTTGTGCCTGCAAAGCATGGGGGTTTTACATAGCCTTCCTTAGGACAGATCTTTGCTTCTGCAAATCCTTCCTGCTCCACTAAGTATTTTGGAAGACCTACCAATTCCTAGACTACATAGAAAGTACTTTCCTGCCTTGATCTTGTATCCTCTGAAAAAATGAATAATAAATAACAAGTACCTTTGAGGCAAAAAAAAAAAAAGCCAAAACATATTAAGGGTCTGGGGATTTAGCTCAGTGCTTCTGCTGCCTGCCTTGCAAGTGCAAGGTCCTCAGTTTGAACCCCTGTACCAAACAAACAACCTTTGAGGCAGAAACACTACCTTACATGAGCAGAAGTCATCATCCAGGTTCTTAATGCTTCTCCTTCCTCCCTTTGGAGCAAATAGCCAATCAGAGATTTAGCTCAGTGGTCCCGCTGCCTGCTTTGCAAGAACAAGGTCCGGAGTTTAATCCCCGGTACCCCCCGCCCCAAAAGACGGAGCAAATAGCCACAGTAGCAGACCACTTATACATTTGAAATAAATGGTAGACTCTGATACTATCTACTAAATGGTTCAAGTGTTCTAAAAACATTTGTGGGCACTTCTGGCCAGAGAACTGGGCTTCACATGCATAGCTAGAACCTGAAGGTAAAGAAGGGCAAGCATTCACTGGGAGCACTTCTACTGCTCTACCATGAGCTCAGCCGTAACAATAGTAATCACTATCCAACACCCATAGCAAGTCAGCCCATCAGTGAATCATCAGTCCAGTGAGGGGCTGGTCCAGGGTGAGCTCTCCTGTATGTTTTGCCTGTTAAAAAGCCCCAGAGATGACTAAAACCCAAGAACAGAGAAGGAAAAGAGCAAGTAAGTTTACTTTTTCAAAAAGATATGTGACTTGTCCACTAATCCAATGGTGGAAGAAAAGCACCAACATTCCCTAACTTAACTGGCATTCACTATCCGTCAAGAGGCTTTATATTTATCAGGTCTTCAGATTTAAGAATGTAAGTCATACTTAGCTCTTTTCATTTTTACCGAGTGATTTTCAACAGAGGCAAATTTACCTCTAAAGGAAAATTTGACGTCTGAAGATAGTGTCTCTCCCTCTCTCTCTCTCTCCTTCTCTCTCTCTCTCTCTCTCTCTCTCTCTCTCTTGTTTCTTATTTGTTCTTTGAGACAAGGTCTCAATATGTGGCTCAGGCTGGTGAACTCAATGTATCCCAGGCTGGTTTCAAACTCATGATCCTCCTGCCTTAGCCTCCCAAGTGTTAGGATACAGGCATGCATCATCATGTTCAGCTGGAAACAGTTCTGAGAGTTGCTACTGGAATCAAGCGTAGAGGTCATGGACCCTATACTGAACACCCTATAATGCATATGCTAGGTCCCCATAAGAATTGTCTCTCCCAAAACATCAGTGCAAAGACTGAGGGACTTGCTATGCATCAACTTTTCTGCTACTCTAACCAATTTAGCTCAATAATAGTGACAACACTCAAACTCTGTACTGATCATTATAAGAATATTAGAAGAGTAAGCTTTAAATTTGTCTTCTTATGGATAGAAACTGCTAAGCAAACCATTGGGACCTGGAAGGAGGGAAGAGTAGGTAACTTCATTATAAGATTATTAGAAGAGTAAGCTTTAAATTGTCTTCTTATGGATAGAAACTGCTAAACAAACCACTGGGACCTGGAGGGAGAGAAGAGTAGGTTAAATAAAACCAGTCCTCTAGATCAATTCCTTAACTCTGTTCTGATTTTGCTCGCCCAGGGTACAACAAAACAACAATGTTCACAACAGAAGTTAAAACATCAATAGAGTAGGAAGCCAGACAAAGGGCCAAAAGCATCCCCTGCAGGGCTCAGGGCATCTCACACAGAGACTGCCTTGTGTGGGGTCAAGCACTCCAGATTTGAATGGAGCATGGTGGCACACACCTATAGGAGGACTGCTGAGAATTAGAGGCCAGCCTGGGCCATATACTGTAATGAGTTCAAGGCTGGCCTGAAGAACTACATACTGAGACCCTGTCTCAAAAAAAAAAAAAAAAAAAAAAAAAAGGAGGGGCTTGAAGGGGGAATGGGATAAAATAAAATTTATTTTTTTAAAAAACAGAACTTCAGGTTCAAGGGATTCTGGTACACTGCAGTTTATTGACTACAAAGAATCCAAGTGTTCTTTAGAGATCCCCAAAATATCTTGGAATTATACCAAAATTCAAAGGAAGCAGTGCAGAGATGAGTATGGTTGTCTTGCTCCCTACCATACCCAGCTTCAGAGAAACAAATGAAAAGCATTTATATTCAGTAATACTACAGAGGAGCTACTAAGGAAGCATGTGAGGCAGCCATCACCTACCTCTCCTGGGGGCCTACGACAGGGTCTTTGTGTAGCACCAGATCTGGGGGAGGATGGGCTATGACATCTTCCGTAGTCTCCTTGGGTCCACATGTTCTCCCCTTCTCTGCTTCACTTCTCACCTCCAAGGCTCTCTCTTGTTCTCCAAATCTGGCCTGGCCATCTCTGGAGAGGCTGCCAGAGCTGTGGCAGGAATGAATTGAGTCCTGCTCACGACGGTCATCATCTTGCTCATGATACTGGTCTAGTTCACTCAGCTGAGAGCTTCCTTGACTCACATTACAGGAGGAGCCATACCTACTACTGCTGGTGGGGCTGTAGAATGAGAGAAAGGCAGATTAGTAAATAATGCAAACCAGGGACGAGGGCATAAGCATGGATAAATTACTACAATTACTACATCAGGACAGTACTCACTAGGAAAAAGAAGACCAAAGTTCACAAACCACAAAAATTAGGTCTATTTAGCAGAAACACAATAGGAAAATACATAATATGCTGGATTCTCTAACAGCATTTAACCTCTTGCCTGTGACTTTGAAGAGTATCATAATGAGTTACTTGCAAGTAAGATTAAAATGGCCTATTTCTTACTCCTAAAATTCCCTATTCAGTCTTCTAAAGAAACTTGTCCAGTGGTTATGATGTTTTCTAATTCCCATGTAGTAAAATGGAGTAAATGAGTCCTGCTTCCCTTTGCTATTAATTAATAAACTGAGGTCTTCACTTATTGCCCTACAACTATAAATGTGTATGCCTCTACCTCAGCATGAGTGGAGAGTGGACATATTTCTCCATATATCTCTCAGTCATTTGAAGGAAGAAGTAATAGAAGCTATCATATGTCAGTAGAATAGGTACCAAGTCACTATTCTGTCTCCTTCCCTCCCTTCCTCTCCCTTTCCCTCTCCTTCTCCTCCTTCTCCCTCTTTCTCTCAGCTTCTGACCAATCCTAATCCCTTTGGACATGTTTGAGCCAGAGTTCACTGTATGGTGCTTCTTCTTAGGGGAAATAATACTATCTTCTGCAGATGGACCCCAACCAATGCTCTAGACTGAAGAACAGAAAAGGGTAGTCCTGTGTTCAAGACTTTACTCAAAACATTTACCAGACATCAGTCCCTGACTTTTAATGCTCTTGGGACTGGTGTCTGATAAATACTTTGAGTAACATCACACAGAAACTCAGGACTTTTATTGTAGTTCTTCCACCTGAAGCCTTGTGGTACCCTGGTATTAGAGAATGATACCACAGTAGTTACACAAATTCATGTGCTATAGGATATAGAATATAGATTATGGTAAGCCATCCTTTACACTTTGTATTTTACTTAATACCTTTATTGCCACTGGAAGAAGCATCTTAGAAGACTTGGAAAACCAAAGCAAAGTAAGTTTTTCTCCACCTACCATAAGTTATAAGTGCCTAAGGCCCAAGGCAGCATCCTATCCAATTATGTAGTTATAATAGACATATACCACATAAATACTTGCTACCTCTTCCTGCTTTGTTTTCTCCAATCCACATTATGAAAGGAGAAGCAAACCAGAGTGATTAAATCTCAGGGCCTAGCTTTAAGCAGGACACTCCTTGTTCCAATAAAGAATTAAAAGGAGAGGATGAAAATATCCACCCATTTAACCCCTAAATAACATGACAGTCAAGTGGTAGGAAAGACACAGACAGGATAAAAAGCAATTTAAAATAATCTACCACTAAGTCATTTGCATCATAAATGGCCCATTTCTTAAAACCATTTATGATGCTCGAGTTTAGAACAGGCCTTTTGCTGGTCACTGGGTCCTTGATGTCACTCAGATTGACTGGCTGCTGTGCATGTGAAACAGAGTTGGTGTTCGCTGACAACACCTCCTCTACATGTTTTTCTGGCTGGTGAAATAATTCAGAGACAGTGCTGTGCTCCTCTTCAGGTTTTCCTGATGGACAAGTGGAACCAGAGAGGTTGCCTCCTGTACCCCGATGTTCTCCAGATGCTGAGATTTCCAGCTGGTTTTCCATTTCTCCAGGCTCTGAAAGCCCATGAATACAGATACTTGGCCTAGCCTCCAGCTGCTCAGAGGTCACAGAAGGCTGTTCATGAGTACTGACCTCAGCTGGCTCTACACTGGCCCCAAATATTTGAGAAGACTTCAAAGCTTTGTTAGCCTCACTGGAGTTCAGGCCCTCCTTTTTGCTGATAACCAGAACTAGAGGGGAAGATTCTGCAGGCATTTGTTCAGGGCTCCCTTTGTTCTCTTTTGGCCATGGAAAGGAAAGATCTAGTATCTTTCCAAATCCTACCTTTGGATCATTTTCTAGTCTACTCCCTCTCCCTTCACTACCTCCCTCAAATAGAGTTGATAACTTTTTAAAACTAGACATTAAACTAGTTCCTAATGCTTTGTTATCAGAAGAGTGAGGTGAGGAAAAGAAAGAGCTCAATGTCTTCCCACAGTCAGTAGTAGAGGATGAGAAGTGTAGCTTTGGGCAACTGGTCATGTTTGGAATCTCAAAATGAGGTCTTGGCTGCTCTGTCTCCTGAGGGATTGCAGGTGAATCTTTCTCAGCATGAAGTGTCCCACAACTTTTGCTGGCACAAAGAACAGGTCTCTCTGGCAAAGGATGGGCACTGTACCCTTGGCTTTCTGTTGTGGCACTCTTTTTGAAACTTGCCTCATTAAACAGTGTGGTGTGGGTTTCTAGTGAACTGGTTACATGCAGTTCCAAGAAGTCTTCATTTATGGAGGCAGTTTGAATAGCTGACTCTGGATCAAGAGGAGGAGGTGAATGAAGTGGAGGAAGAAGCTCTTTAGCAATCCCGGTATAACATAGATGCAACTGTGTTGGCAGGAGACTATGTTCTCCTGCAAATGATGCCTTTGTGTCTGTACCCTGCAACAGTCCCATGTCTCCTTCATCACTCAGAGACAATACTCCTTGCTTCATATCATCTTCAGAGATAGAAGAGGTAGCAACTGTGTCAAAATCTTGGGGTCCTGGAATATTTTCAGGAATATTATTTTTTTCAATTTCTATCATCAGTTTGTGATCATCTGATTTTGATGTTATTACACTAATTACATTCATTCTATAACCACTGACAGGAGAGTTTGAAATGAGTCTTGAAGAGGCAGCTTCTCTATACAAACTTTCTGGAGGTACCAATCCTACAGAATCTCTGGAACAACTATTTTGAAGGCATGAAGTAGCTACAAATGGTTCATGTTTATATGTCTCTGGCTTGGGACTTCGAAAAATTTGAAACAACTCACCTTTGAGAGGTTGAGGTGATGCCTCAGAAGAAAGAGAGAAAAAGGAGTTCTTTGGAGATTTTGGAGAGGAGAAAAGTCCAGAGAAAGTTTTAGGAGGTTCAGTTAGAAATTCAGAGAAAGATTTTACTTTGGTCACAAATCCTGAAAACATTTCTACTTTGGAGCCTAGAACTGTTTTGTCTTCCTTTCTGCCTGCATCTTGGTTCTGGAGGGGTCCTTCACAGCCTGGGTCTGGAGAAGCAGCAGCTGACTCCAGAATTCTTGGGGAAATCTTATCAGGAGCCTCTTCTAATGGCAAGTTCAATAAGTCAGTAGTAAATCTTTCATTTTGGTGTTTAGTATACGCATCTAAGTCATTGAGGTCTTTATTCAAATGATTATCAAGAGAAAAACAGTTGGCCAATAAATCACTAGAAAAGGCTTTCTGGTTGAAAGCCTCTTCTTTAGGGGGAGCTACCCCAAGATTCTCTGGGTCAATGAGGAATGTTTCAGTGTGCTCCTGAAATTCTGATGAAGGAGGAACAATATCTTTTTGTAACTGATTTCTCTGGAAAACTAAATATGCCCCTGGTTCAGTACTGGAAGTCACTTTTCCTTGAATTTTCTCTACACTGAACTCATCTGCAAGGTAGGTAACCTCAGTGGTGTTGTTAGTGGAAACACAAGGGAGCATTGGCTGTTCATGAACTACTTCCTGAGCTGTACTGTTTCTATGACCACTAGAACCTTCCCTGGTCATTGTGTCACTGGTGTCTACAAAAACACTTGGCTTCTCACAGGGCTGAGAAGTCACTGGAGCAACAGTTGAAATGCTTTGTTTCCCCCCAGAAGTCTGCTGTTTTTCATCCAAAAAGGCCAAGCTGAAGAAACTAAAAGTACAGCTACTATGAGAAGTATCCTTCTTGATGCCTGAGTGAGTACTGGGGGAAAAAAAAGGAAGTGTGAAGAGCCCATCTGCTTGAGATTTGGTTCTGGGTAAAGTGGCAGAGACTCTGTTCTCAGAATTTTCAGATCTAGTCAAAGAAAATATACTCTTTCTGTTTGGTAGCTCTGGTTGAGATGAAGATGTTGAAGCAATTGAAAAACTCTGGTCTTTATTAGGAAAATGATCTTGTTCATTTTGTCTTTTGTTCAGAATATCAAAAGATGTTTTGTTACTCTTTAGATCTTCTATCACTGTAGACTTGCCACTATTTTCTTTTGAAGAATCTCTGGGAGACTCTTTGAGACTTGTTGAGAAAATAAGATCTGCTGACTGTCGTATTAGGTTGTCCATGAAAGGTTCCTCTTTTTCATTCAAATCATCACTCTGGATCTCCATAGGTGATGGTTCCCTCACCCCACTGTCATCAATAGCAGTCTGTTTGTTCAAGCTACTAACCCTAACCTTTCCTTTAGAGGAAATTGGTTTAGGAGGAAAGTTCCCAATTCTCTGACTCATTAGCTCCACAGGATTAGGAGTTGAATTGACCTCATCCTTATCAGTCACTGAAGAAACAGACATATTTTCAGTGGTCTGTATGGGAGATATATTGGTTTTAAAGAAATCTGCAAGAGTACCAGAAAAATTTGAAGCACCAGAAGATTCTTTCTTTTCTTGAGGTGATGTTTTCTCATTTTTATCACTATTCTTTTCCAAATTTGATGACTCTTCTTTATTCATTTGTGTTTTAAAGAGGTTGAAAAATCCAGATGACTGTTTTTCATTTGTCATCATACTTACTGAAGATTCTTGTCCATGACCAAAGAATTTCAATACACTTTTAAATAATGTTCTCTCGGGCTCTTTGGAAGACTGGTCCTGAGGAAATTCACAATTTTTATGCTCATCCCTACTAAACTGTGGTACAAGAGAAACTGAAACAGAGTCAGCTATAATGATTTTATCATCTTCTACACTTGATTTAGTTTGAGTTGTTTGGCTTACCTGATAACCAGATTTTGACAAACTTTTTTTTTTCATGTGAATATTTCTATGTAAGGGGAATCTTTGCCTCATATTTTTAGTAAACTCTGGTTGCTTAATGCTGGACACTGTCTCTCTCTCTGAATCCTTAAGATAACTTTCTTCCTCCTTTTGGGAATTATTCTGTAATTGCTTATTCAAAATTAATGCTTCAAGACCATCATTTGCAAACTTTGCTAATTTTGACTGTTGATCTATTTTTTGTATGACCAAAGTTTCCAAAGATTCACTTTTACCAAAATTCAAAGTACTTCCAACCAAGGCACCCACTTTGTTTACTGATGATGTTTCTTCTGCCTGCTGTGAGCCTTTAGTCATATCTTCAGGATGAACCAAGGAGGCAACTTCTTCAGATGACTGAAGCCAATGAAAACTGGAAAGGTGAATTGATGAATCTTTAGCTAGAGGCTGGTTCTTATCTCTCTCTATAATTTTATCTCTATTTAAAACATGATCACCAATTGTTTGGGGCTGCTTCCTGAGATCCAGTATATATTCAAGGTCTTCAAAACTACAAGGCCTTTCTTTGAAAGATCTAAAATCTCCTTTAGACTTATGAGGATTATACCCTGAAAAATCTAATGGTTGATCCCTTTGGCCAAAACCTGACTCTTCAAATATCTGTGAAAAACTGTCTAAATTTAGATTAAATGGTCCTTCATTTCTTGGTAAGACGACAGATAAATCAAGAGGGTCATCAATTGATTCTTCAACATACCACAATAATTCATCTTCTTTATCAAGTAATTTAGGGGAAGAAATAAAGCTGTCATCCAACATAATACTTGACAGGTCATTTGTCTGTAAATCATAATTCAAATACCCTTGATAAGAATAATCAGGTATAAATACATATGCATATTGCCCAGTAGAATCAGTAAGGAGAGAATAAATATACTGACTATCATGGAACACATAAAATCCATAATATCCATCTTCTGAGGGCCACCAGATTCCACTTTCAAGACATGATAACCATTCCTGGCATTCATAACCAAAATTTGAAAAACTAAAGTTTTCATCCACTTTTAATGAGTCTTGATAAACTGTGGAACATGTAGTTTTCTCATAATTTGAAGAATAACTCAGGTCAATAGGCAATTCTTCTACTGAATTCTTAGTATCATTAACTGGAAGATAAACAGAACTTCCATATAATGGGTTAGCTGCCCACACATCACCTCTTAATAAGTAATCTTCATTAAATACTAACTGGTTGGATGATTCATATGGTAAGTCACACCAAATGACACTGCTTGGATTTATCCTCCAATCCATAATAGTTCCATTTTGATCTTTTTGGCAAAAATATATTCCTGTGTTTTCTGAGTCAGGCCACAAGAAACAATCCATGGAAGGAAATGTATTTTGACTTAACAAATAATAAACTGGCTGAAATTTTCTGGAGTTTTTAGAGAGATCATTTATGTCAGTGTCCCATTCAGAACAGAAAGGACTGTTCATCTCTTCAAATGTCTGACAGTGGTTTGGTTTATTATAAATGTTAGTATTTACTACAGGTGAATTTGATGTGCTTAAACTTTCATGTAGTTTTGCCTCAAAAATCTGGTTTGGCATTGACCTCTTAGCCAAAGATTTCTCAAAGAGGCCCTGTTCAGCACTGGGAGCATAGTGAAGTACTACATTCTCAGAAGAGGGGCAATACTTTTCACTTTCCTGGTTTTTCCAAGTAGGAAGGCAGCAATGATTATCAACCCAAGCGTGAGATGGTGGTATGTTTTCTTCAGATAATGATATGGGGCTATAAGTTTGTTTTTCAACCTGGTACCTCTGGTTCTCAGAAATCACAAATGAAGTAGCAGGGATGTCATACAAAGATAAATGCTTATTTCCATTCATACTTTTTATGTCACCTAAAGAAATAAATTTTGCTTCATCTAGTTTACAGTCATTCATACTGTTATTTGATACTGAGTTAGATATTACAGAGAGTAATAATCTTGGGGTACTATTTATGTGATGGGACTCATCATTTTTCAAATTTAATTCTTGTCTATTAAACAAGTTTTCAGAAGAAAACCTGTTGAACAGACCAGAAAGGAGGCTTCCTTGGGTCCCTTTTGTCAAAGTTTTATCTACAACTTTGGCTTCATTAATATCATTAACCAAAGTGGGTTTTGAAATGGTAGAAAAAAACTCTAAAAAAGAGTCTGTTGAAAATGTCATTTGTGTAAGATTTTTATCTTCTCTTGAAAGATCTGAAGTTGCATGTTCTTTAGTCAAAACTCCAGAGACAGCTAAGGTATCTCTTTCACAATTTTCTACTGCTGTGTGGTCACTTGTATTTAATTTCCTTATATTCTCTAGTTTCCCCAAATCATTATTAACATCTAGGGTTGAATCACATTTTACTGCATTAAGTTTGGCACTATCGGTACAATTTATTTGGTCATTCTTATTAAATTCCTCTGTACTGCCAGATTTCCTTAGATCCTTATGAATATTTGGAAGTGAACTAGATTTTATTGAACTAAGTTTGATGGTTTTGGGCTGACTTATTTGGTCATTCTTATTAAATTCCTCTATGCTACTAGATTTCCCCAGATCATTATGAATATTTGGAACTGAACTAGATTTTATTGAATTAAGTTTGGCATCTTTATGGTGATCAGTGGTTGCTGCTGACCCATGAAAACACCAGTCATTAACAATGCTACAACTATCAGTGAAAGGAAATTTAAACAAAGGAAAAATGCTTCCTTTTTCTCTTAAATCCTGCTGCTTTTCAGAATGACTAAGAACTCTCAAAAATGGAATATGTAGTTTTCCACTAAATTCAAAGGAGTGTCCATCTTTCTTATAATCCCTTTCCCATCCATCTTCCTCCACCTGATCAATTTTTACAAATTCTGACAAAGTGTCTTTTGAACATGTCTCACTAGAAGAAGTGAACAAAAACTGGCTGAATGATTTCCTAAGAGGCTCAAGGAAATCATCACCACCAGTAATTCTGTTGTCCTCTACAGGCTTTGAGGAAGCCTCTTTGTTTGCAGTTCTACTGCCAGATATACAAAGATGTCTTGAAGTATCTTTGGCACAAATTTTTGGTTGATCTGGTGACAGAGACAGACCTTCATCTTCACAGGATTTTTCTTTCAACAGACTCTCAATATCATCTTTCTTATTTGTATAATTAGCTAGCTTTGGAGGTCCATTTGCCTTTTCAGAGAACAAATCACTTACTGACATTTGAAACTTTCCTGTAGTTCCTCCATCACTCTTATTTAAAGCAGCAATAATACTACTGTGATTGTCAAGGTTGCCCTCCCTTTGATTTGACTCTGAACCACACTCAACAAAGCTTTCCCTCCTTGGTGTCTTGATCTGGTCATCTTTTCTGGTTTCTTCTTTTTCTGAAAAGATCTTTAGGGGTTTCAGCATGCTAAAAACAGACTTTATAACTGAACTCTGACTCTGTGGAGCTGAGTTCCTTCCAGTTGTTTCTGTTGCATCCTGAAAGCTTAAACTGCCAATCTTATTATCCATGTGCTCACTGTCAAGAGTTCTGCCTTGTCTCCTAATGTCTGTACCATCAACTGCTTGAGAGGATAATGAAAATTGTAGAGAAAAATCTTTTCCTAATACTGAGTTGGCACTGGGTCTAGATCCGAGATTAATTGTCACTGCTTGATTGAAAGGTTCTGTTTTCTCTGGAACTACATAAACCAATTTTTCCACAGAGGTTGTGAGGTTCTTTGTGCCTGAACCCACTTTCTCTGTGAGTGAAGTGAATAAAGAACCAATAGCACATTTTACTCCATTAAGTTCAGGGAAAGATGTGGCCTTGACATCCTTGCAAATAGATAAAGGCAGTATTTGACCCTCAGGCATTTTCTGTTCTGCATTATTGGGTTCAACAGTACTTTTATGTTTGTGTGTTTTTTTAGCTGTTGAAACAGAACCAAATCTATTAATCTCCTCTTCCTTCTCTGCTAAATATTCTGACACTGTTTCTACCAAACAATGAAGTTCATCCATTGCATCAGAATAGTCCTCCTTGGGCTCCACAGTAGAGGAAGGGATGATCTCTCCCATGGAACACCCAGAAAGATCTCCAACTGTGTTTATATTACAATTCATCCTTTGTAATGGCAATGCTGGGTCTGACACATAATATTTATCAGCAAATTCTCCAACATGATGGACCCTGGATGGATGCCACATTGGTGATAGTAAACGTTCCTGCTCTTCAGAAATGGGAGAATCCATGAGTTCTTCAGAAGTACTACTAGTAGAATCTTCAAGAGTATCTAAAGGAGTAAAATTAGGAACATGCTGGTTTAGACTGGATGACTTTTCACAGTTCATTAAATAATAGGGTAGATCATAATGACCTTCTAACTTAGTGGTCCACATGCCACTCTTAACCACAAATCCACTTTTATAGGGGTGCAAAGATGGATAATTTTGTTTCTTCTTTTCAATGTGGCAATTATAATTTTCAGTATCAAGATAGATACCTTTGCAGTTAGTCTTATTGCTAGATTTATCATCATATTGTCTTCTTTCGCTATGTTCAAAATGACCATATAAGGGTTTCTTTTTGCTTCTGTCTATTATATCATATTTCTGATGATAGCTGGAGAGTACAGATGTTTCAAACTCATGATCAAAATGAATTGCAGAAGAGAATTCTGTTTGTTGGTTCCAAGATGGTTTCTTTTCCCAGTTGTATTTTGGTTGTTCTTGTTTATCAGTTTTTGAAAGGATTCTACTTTCTTTCATCTCTGCTTCCTTAAAGTTAATGTTGTTATTTTCTAGAAAGTCTTGTGATATTTTTTCCTCTATCTCCTCATATATATCTTCTTGCTCTTCATAATCAACATCAGAATAAGCTGAAATAATCCTAATTTTGTCATTTCTAGTCTGTGTGCCTTGTCTGATGTAAGGGGTTAAAATTGGAGTAACAGCAACACAAAGAAAAAAGGAGAAACAAGGAAAAGAAAAAAACAAGGTATAAGACTGAGTATCTGTTCAATAAAAGGTTAGAATAAAATTGTCCAGACTAAAAAATATGAAAAGGAAATCCACATATTCCTATCATTATTTCATTGTAGTCAGTTTTTTCCATATCAAAAACGAACAGCTTTAATAACAATTGCTAAATCTTTTATTTGTTCCCATTTGTTGTTGCTAGTTTTAGTTTTTAAGAAACAAAAAATTTAAACATGTTTTATCAATACTGAGATTGTATCTGTGATGCCAAAATTTAGAACTGTTAAGAAAACACATTGAGAATTAAAGAAACCTAATTTTGTAAATATGCTTAAGTATAAAAAGAAGACAAATTATTATTACATTTTAGACTGTATAGACAAGAATACATCCAAACATATTTTAAAGAAAAAAAATTCATTAAAAAGTAACTTTTACCTATCAGAAGTATAACCTTGCTATGTTACCCAAACCAGCAAATTATTTAAAGCATTGTAAACTATCTTTTGCAAAATCCAAAGGCTGTACATATTGAGGATCATAGTGAAATAAATATTTTCCCTGTGGTGATTACAGCAGCAGAAGCTACATGTCTAACTTAAATGAACAAATACAGAAGACAGTTGATCTTTCTTTCATTTAGGTTAGAGATTGTCTGTTTCCTCTATTTCAACACAGACAGAACCTACAGAATAGAAGTTTATCAACTCAGTATGTTTTTATAGATATAACATCCAACAACATTTACTAAGTTAATAGAAAAACAAGATCAAAGTGTACATTTACTCACTAAAAATCTTCCAGGATAAGACTGATATTTTCTTAATTTGTCTTTTTTATGGCTTATATCTAGATGTCCCCTCTCAAAGCCTCATGTAATCCTAGGTAGGGCTCTGGGGAGGTGGCTGGATCATGGGTTTTATATTGTATTAGAGGTATGATAACTCCATTAGTCCACTGATTGATTTAGCGTGGTTCTGGCTATAAATAATGGGAAGGCCTGCTCTGGGTGTGGGTGGCACCAACCAATAGGTTGGTAACCTGGATGGAATAAAAATAGAAAAGGAGGCTCACTGCTTGCTGTTTCCTGCCTGCCATGTCATGGACTATTTCTCCTCTGCCATGCCACCATGCCTTGGAGCCATCTGAATATGGACTGAAACCTCTACAAACTGTGAGCTAAAATAAATCTTTCCTTCTTTAACTTGTGGGTATCAGGTATTGTATCTCAGGGACAAGAAAGTAAGATATTCTCAACACTAGAAATACTTTGGCTAAATAATATCTAACAAAGTCCAATTCTATTGTAAACATCCTATTATTCTGGATTCAATATGATTTTTATTTTTCTTTCTTTCTTTTCTTTTTGGAGACAGGTTCTCACTATGTAGTTCAGAGTGGTCTTGAACTCACTATGTAGCCCAGCCTGGCCTTGAACTCCAGTAATCCTCCTGCTTCAGCCTCCTAAGTGCTGGGTTTACAAGTGTGCACCACCATACCTGGCTGCTTGAGTGAAGACATCCAGTTTATATATATATATATAATTCAGTTGTAATACTCTCCAAATTCAGTTGTAATACTCTCCAAAAACACAAACTAAACTTACTTAATTCCAACCTAGAAGGATGCCTCATAGTTCCAAATTAAATCAACAGATAGCCATAGCTATAGTGCTTGTAACTATTTTTATACCTCATGTATGTTCCCTCAAGGAATTTAAACTTCCTAAATCTCTACGTAAAGGAATTTAAAACTTTTCCACAAATTTAGTGTTTCCTTGTTTTTGTTTGTTTGTTTTTATGATAGTGAGAACTGAACCTAGGACCTTGGCACTGTGTTACATCCCTGACCCTTTTTAACTTTGAGACAGTGTCTCACTAAGTCACTAAATTGCCCAGGCTAGACTCAAACCTACAACACTTCTAGAGTACTGGGATTATAGGCATGCACCACCTGCACCCCACAGTGTTTACATAGTCAATGCTAGTGATAATAATCTCATCAAAACTTTTAAAAGGAAAATCATTTCAAAATATTAAGTTTAAAATGTCTATAATACCAGGTTCAGGTGGCACATTCCTATGGCTTTAGCTCCTTGGTAGGCTGAGGCAAGAAGATTGCAAGTTCAAGGCCAGGATGGGTAACTTAGTGAAGAACTGTCTCAAAATAAAAAATACAAGGACTGGGAGTATAACTCAATGTTAGCATACCCCTAGGTTTGATCTCCAGTACTGCAGAAAAAAAAAATCTATTATAAAAGGTTTACTTAGAAATCTTTTTGGTTGTTCTCCTGCCGGCACTTGATAAAATACTTACTTTTAAGTCTTGTTTTATATATTGATAGAGTAAAGTTTATTTATATGGAATAACTAGAGAAAAAAATTAGGAAAAACACTTGCAATTTAAAGAGTATCACTGATACTCTTATAAGTGTTAGTTATGATAGCAGTAACCCAGGAATATCCAAAATCATAAGGTAGTGATTCCAAATGGAAAAATATGTAGTTATTTAGATTGATGTGCCTTTAGTACTACTGGCCTGCATTTTTTTTTCTTTTGGTTTTTTAAGACAGGGTCTCACTTTGTAGTGCAGGGTGGCCTAGAAATCACTATGTAGCCCAGGCTGGCCTCAAACTCACAGTGATTCCATCCTGCCTCTGCCTCCTGAGTGCTGGGATTACACGTGTGTGCCACCACACCCAGCTCCTAGCCTGCACCTTTAATGCTTGTAAATGCATAATGGAAAGAAAGCCAGAAGGAAAAAAAATTGTTGGCATTATATTTTTCTTAAAGTAAACAATATAACCTTAAAAAGATGACATAAAAGTAGAAGGAAGACTATTCAAAGGCTCTAAAGATGTGGGGGAAGAGGGCATAAGAGGGGGTAATGAAAGGATGGACATGGGCAAATATATTGGAATACCTCCCAAAAATGTGAAAATAAGGGAAAGGTTGGGGCAAAGCAGTAATAGGGATAGAAATTATCAAAGGTGTGTGCATGTATGAATCTGCCAAAATAAAACCCATTAATCTGCATAACCAATTAAAAGTGCTCAGAGAAAATTTGAAAAATTAAGAAAACAGTGTAGGGTTAGAACAATACAAATAAAAATCAAACGAGTAGCCAGGCGTGGTGGTGCACGCCTGTAATCCCAGCATTCAGCAGGCTGAGGCAGGAGGATCGCTGTGAGTTCAAGACCAGCCTGGGCTACATAGCGAGTTCCAGGGCAGTCTCAACTACATAGTGAGACCTTGTCTCAAAAAAAACAAAAAAAACAAAAAATCAAATGAGTAAATCGTGTAAATGTCCACGTGCTTGGTGGCATAGGCCTCTGGTTGCAGTTACTCATGGGGCTGAGGAAGAGGACTGCATGAGCCCAGGAGTGTTCCAAACCAGCCTGGGCAATGTAACAAGACCCTGTCTGTTAAAAAAAAAAAAAGTACAAGCATTCAATTAATAAACCATCAAGGAGTATGCATAAACTTCAGAAGGATTCTTAATGTGTTTCATTTTAGACTCCAAATAAGAACAGTGCAAACTTTATGCTCTGGATGATAGATGAGAAAATTTTACTGAAAGTATTTTCAGATGAGATCAGGCGCATTCAGGGTGGTATGGACATAGACATTGAAAGTATTTTCAAAGATGATAGTAAACTTGGATAGAATGTTGTCTAGCAGGTAAGACAGCCTTTTCAGGCTCAGGATAAAAATTCACCACTGTAGTAGTTTGAGGTGGGGAAAAAAATGAGATCATCCTATGGCTTGGTGAATTTCATAAATTAATAGTCTGAGTTACTGGGCATGGTGGCACATGCCTATAATCCCAGCAGGATTACTAAAAGTTTAAGGCCAGCCTGGCTACATAGTGAGTTCAAGACCAGCCTGAACTACATAGTTCAAAAAAGAAAAACAAACAAGAGCCAGGGATTTAGCTTAGTAGTGCTGCCGCCTACTTTGCAAGTGCAAGGTCCGGAGTTTGATCCCTGGTACAAAAACACAAACAAAACAAAATTGCAATGATTTTTTTAAAAAACCAATCTCCAAGAAACAAATGACTTAACCAAAGACTGAGAGATGCTAAAAAAATCACTGGATAAAAGGTTATTGGGAAAAATAGGATATGGATATATCAGGTATCCATTAGATATTATTAATTACAAATGAGAAACAGTAATATAGTATATACCAAATTTCTCAACCAAGAGATCAAACTAAACATCCAGTAATAAGATTAAAAAAAAATGTTTCCTGAATGGACTGTGAAGGAGACATCACCCTATGTAGTTTCTGCCAAAATATTTGAACTGATTTTATGGATTCAATCAGAAAAAAAAATTAAAACTCAAGACACCTGGCCTCAAAAAATATGCCTCAAAAGACCAGAAAAAAGAAGAAGAAAATATGAAAAAGGGAATTTTGCTAAAGACTAAGAAAACAGGAAAATCAAATACAATGCCTTGTGATTCTTGACAGAATCCTTGATCAAAAATGAGAGGAAATGAATATGAAAAAGGTCTTTTTCTTAGGAGTTACATCCTGAAGTACTTTCTAGAAAAATAACATGGTATCTGCAACTTACTGTCAAATTGCTCAGGAAAAAAATAGGTGCATATATGAATATATGTTACAGAGAATGAGATGAAGTAAATGCAGCAAAATGTCAACACAAATGAAATTTAGGAAACAAGAATATGGCTATACACAAGAACAAAAAAAAAGAATATGGTTATTCATTGTGTTACTTCTCCAAATTTTTAATTTATTTGTTGATTTTGTTTTTTTGAGACAATGTCTCACTGTGTAGTTTAGGCTGGCCTTGAACTCACTACGTAGTCAATGCTGACCTTGAATTTATGGCGATATTCCTGCCTCAGCCTCCCAAGTGCGGGGATTACAGATATGCACCACCACGTCTGGCTATTTCTCTAAATTTTCTTTAAGTTTGAAATACTTTTTTAAAACATTGGAAAATGAAAGAGTGAAAATTTAAATGCTTTCTTTTACACTCACAAATATGTAACAATACTCTATGGAAAGATATATAAGAAATAGTAATGGGAGGGGAACTAGGAGATAGGAAAGGAATGGAGTAGAGGGAGAAAACAAGTATGGGTGGTAGAATTTTTACAGTAAGCTGTACTGTAGTTTAAAATGTTTAACTACATAAGTATTTAATACCTTAAATTAAATTAAATTAAAACCAAGTTCCAGCGAATGTGCTAAATCTGTGATAATGAGTTCTTATTGATTTTCTTATGAAGCTCCCAAGAAAATATTTAAACAGGCAGAAGTAACCAAACATGTAATATATGATTTTCTTTTGTTAAATTTTAGCTAAAACTGTATCAAACACCACTTAACTGGGGGGTCGGGGGGGGCAGGCAGTTTACTTTCAGCCATCTACCCCAAGTGAAAATGCCCTCACCAGTTGAAAATCACTGATCATAAAGTATTCCTGGTGGAGATGTGTGTGAATAAATGGAAGAGGAAAAAAAAAATCTAGCCAGAGATTTAGCTCAATGGTTCCACTGGATGCCTTGCAAGCACAAGTTCCAGAGTTTGATCCCTGGTACAAAAAAAAAAAAAAAAAAGACAAAATCTATACAAAACAATTGCAGTTGTGCCCACCTTACTATTACTCTTCCACTACCACCTCATTGGAAAGCAACCAAATCCTTTTTGTCACTAGTATCATGGGACCTAGATACTAAGAAAAGAAAATACTTTGTTCTCAATACCCACCTGAGCGCCCGCCGCTCTGGATAATCAAGGTCATAACTCTGCATAGAGTCATTGCAAGAGTCCCGGGAACTGCCCTGAAGTAGCAGCTGCTGTGGCAATCGCACTGGCACAGGAAACTGGTGTACAGAAGCATTGGGCTGGAAAGTCGTATGATAAGGAGGTGGGACGCTATTGCTGGTCTCACTGCGATAGTCACTGTCTCGGTCATCGACCGCACTATCAGGGTCTTCAAAAGCTGTAGAGTAAGCACAGTCCGAGTGCCCCGGGTTTATTAAGTTCTTTAAAATTTTTTCTGCTTCTAACTTAGGTAGTCACAAGCCTGGACCTTGAGAATAAAAGCAAGCAGAGTTGCACATGAGCCCAGTGACGTCAAAGCTATGAGCAGAAATGTCTTTATTAATAACCCACAGTCTCTCTCCTCATCAAATGAAATCAGACACTTGGTTTCATTTTAGTGCTGATTCTTAGAAGAGCTCCAAATTGCATTTTCCAAACTCAGAATTCTCTAGAATTTTGCCTCTCTAGCTATCATAAGTCTAATTTTTAAAATATCACAAATAAATTCTGGTTCTCTACTGTCATCAAAGGGAGAGAACAGAGAGGAGAAACAAAACAGCTTCTCTATATTAGAAAAAAAAAATTTTTACATAAAGTTGGTCTGGCGTTTTTGGATTTTAAAATATATGCACTAAACCAAACAAGCAGTTCCCAAATTAGAAGCTGGTCCTAGAAATAAAGAGTGTTACAGCTAAGGCCCAGAAGTCAAGGAATGCAGTTAAGAACAGCAGCAGCCTCTCTATGTTGCTGCAATGTCAGGTTTTTCTAACAATCCTGTCAAGCAACTCTATTCTAGGTTCAGAATTCCCATCCAGAGCATGGGCTGAAATTACCTACTTCTAAGATCCTGCTGACAATGCCATGTTTACCTAATAGTAATCACTAAAATGTTTAAAAATTATTTCTGCTTTTTATTATTATTTTTAAAAAGTTTTTAAAAGGTTATTCTGTTTTATCACCCTCACAATACAGTCCCCTGAAACAACCTACAAAGCAGAGCTTGCTGTGCCCCTTCGCAGAATGGATGCTGGTAGACATGAGACACCTTCAGGCTCACATATAAATATTACTCTGAACCTCGTTTGCGGTCCTCAGCATCTTCAGAGTCTCTGTGCTCTGGGGAATGTTCTTGACCAGCCCTTTCAGGCTTCTGGAAGAAAGCATGGGCTTGAAGGCTTCCTCCGTCAGGAGGTCTGGCTTCATCACATTGGTGTAGCACAGGTACAGGATCGGGGATCTGCCACACCTGACAGTAGGTCAGCACTGTGGCAGGAAGGACCTGCACTATATTCGGCTGTTCCAGCAGGGAGTAACATACAGGGTCTTTGAAGGTCTGTGTTTTCAGGAATGGAGAAGGCAGACTGCCAGTGGACAGAGCTTTTATAGTCGACACGTGAGCAAGGTTACCTGCATGTTCTTTGGGCAAGAGCCAAAAAATGGCTTTTCTAGCCATTGATACTGTTGATCTTCAGCAACCTAACAACTGCACTGGCTGAGGAAAAGCGAAGGGTTTGATATGAGATGGCAAAACACACAGTAAGCCTCTCTGGGGGACGTGTGCACAGCATCCGTTGTTCTACACCTCTCATTCCAGAGTTTAGCACATCCAACTTCCTCCCAGACCTCTGAATTCATAACAAAGGATGACAAAAATGCTACTGAATTATTTCCTATAACAATTATAATTTGGAGCAAGGATATTTTTCCAGCAGAGAAACTTCCAGAGATGTTTTTGTCTGTCTTCGAATAAGCCGCAACTCTCTTCTGGGCCAGCTGCTACCACACCTCCCGGTCCTCAGGCGTCTCCCTCCCCCTCCCTTCCTGCTCCTCCTCCTCCATGCCTGCCTGACAAGCCGGTTTTCACCACCACTCCGAATTACATGGCTGTCATGACATCTGTGGGACTGGCCCGGCCCAACCGTGGGCCATGGACTTATTTCTGCTTTTTAGATAACTCCTGACTGGCTATTTTCCTTGATGATAGTTAAAATGACAACTTTTGCAAATAAAAAATGTGCCTAGAAAGGAGCTCAAACTAATGGTGTATGTAGAATACTTTATACAGAAGCCATATCTGATACCATACTCATAGACTGATTAATGAAGTCCCACATGTCTTATTTTGCTAAGTTCCTATCTGGCTCACAATGAGGAAAAGAAAAACATTCATCATTCCCCAAAGGAAACACTTTTAGTGGAGGACAAATTCTTTGTATTAGTGATTTTAAAAGATAATTGAGTGCTGCCTTCAGCAGCACATATACTAAAAGATAATCAAGATAACAGTGTGGGCAGAAGAAGTCTTCTGAAGATCTACCAGTACTGGGGATCACATTCAGGACCTTACACTTGCAAGGCAGGAGTGGCACCACTGAGCTAAATCCCCAGCCCCTTCTGAAGATCTTAAGATTAGGTTTTTATAATTGCTCAAGCAGGAGATAAAGACATATACAGACAGAAGAAATAGAAGAGTTAATAAACTAGGAAAAAAAAACAGAAATAATAAAAACTGAGGACAAATGGACAGTGATAGGGAGATGACCTTCTGTTTTCTATGCCAAACAACCTAATAGGTAATTCCTCTAAAAGAGACAGGGAGCATAAAGGTGTGGGTTTTAAGGAAGAATGTTTGAGTACTGGGTTCCAGCTAACATCTGTTGGTATAGATGGGCAGTAGGATTTTATAAGCTTTTCCATTTGAGTTTACAGCAAGAAGGGGAGGCTAGTGGTATCAATAAGAAGGAGATTTTTATATTTGAATTTATTTGAGGGGGAGAGAGAGGGAGGGAGAGAGGGAGAGAGAGGGAGAGAAGGAGAGAGGAAAAGGGGGAGAGAGAGAGAGAGACAGAGAGAGAGAGAGAGAAGGAGAGAGGAAAAGGGAGAAAGAAAGAAAGAGAGATGAGAGAGAGAGAGAGAGAGAGAGAGAGAGAGAGAGAGAGAGAGAATTAAAATCCCAGGAAGGGAAAAAATCAGCAAAAAAGAGGCTAATCTTCAAATTGTGAGACATAATTATTAGTAACATTTGCCAGTTAAAAGCAAGCAGTACTAAGCCAGGCATGGGGGCACCTGTAAGCCCAGCACTTGGGAGGCTGAGGCAGGAGGATCGCTGTGAGTTTGAGACCAGCCTGGGCTATATAGTGAGTTCCAGGTCAGTCTCAACTACATAGTGGGACTCTGTCTCAAAAAACCAAAAACAAACAAGCAACCCCCTCCAAACCCCAAAAACAAAGCAGTACTCTGGCCAGGATAAGAGTAGTAAAGATTAAAAACAAAAGCAAACAAGGGTGGAAAGCATTCTGATGACACATTAGGAAAAAGAAACTCTGAAGACAATGGTTTTAGCCCTTGATGCATTTGTTGTTCTAAAAATGAGAAAGAAGGAATCAAGAGATAAAACCAATATGTTCTTCAGACTTAATCTTTCTGAATCCACAGAAGAACTGAGGCTGAAGAAGTCAGAGTTGGACTATTCATGCATACAGATGAGTGGGCAAAGGCAACAAAAGAGAAAAAACCAAAAGTCTCCATCAATTTCATCAGGAAGAGTACTGGCACATAAAGCCACAGAACCACAACTGAGTCTCCAAAGAGGCAACAGTGATAGATAATCACATTGCCTTTGAAGTAAGAGAACTTAGCCAGTTAGAAGCCCATGACCCAACATAAGAAACTACTTGGATAGAACTTACGTTCTCACTGTAACTGATCTAGTATTCCTAAATAATATTTTGCTGTTTTTAGTTTGTTAGGCCAAGGGAAAGAATATATTGTAACTTTCCTAAAGCCTATAACATTTTATACTGAAGAAATGAAGGGTAAATACCAAGAAATAAGGTGTGCCTGGAAATAAGAGGTTGGGAGAAGAGAAAATATGAAAAGCAGGAATATCAGATGGAAGGAGATACAAAGTGAGATGAGACAAAGGACAGAAACACATATACACAAAAAAAGGTAGGGAAAGACAAAGATGAAGACCAGTTTTCTCTCTGTCACCCTCAATTTCCATAGAAAGTAAAATTCCGGGTACAACCAAGACTAGTTAGAAACTAAAATGAAAAATTAAGAAAAATTTAAAAAAAAGAAAAATGTTAACATTTCAGCTTTAATAAAGAGCTGTGCTTTAGTGCATCAGTCACTATCTCTTCTGAGTCTACAACAAATCCCACAGTACCATGTCCGCTAGATAGCAAAACATCTAGCTTTGCAGAAAAAGGGAAGCCAATTAGTGCTAGTTTGGTTGCTAAGCATAAGGAGGGACTTATGGGCTAGTTTAAGGGCAAAAGTTGAAAAGCCCCTAGTATGCTATTTGAAATTACATTTACTCCCTCAAATATTGAGTATCTACACACACAAGGCTAAGCACAGAAGATTCAAAATTTAAGTCAATCTAAGAGAATAAAATATAAATACAAACATTGAATTGTTATACAAAGAAGTTACTACATGAGAACAGCATAAACAAAGTGATATATGAGCTAAAATTAAAGTAAGTTCACTTCCCTATGAATGAATATCTAGAATCTGGGTTTAAGCAATGACATGATTAAAGGCACAAAGATGGAAAAGGCTATATTTTCTTGAGACACAGTTTGTTAGTTTACTTAGTGTCTGAATAAAGGAATGTGGGAGGGAATAACAGAAAGCAAGCCTGGAAAAATAGATTAAAGAAAGTAATCTAACCTAGGGCAAGGATGGACCTCCAAACACAGAAAAAGCACTCAAATCAAATGAACAATGAATCTCTCTCCTGTGTAGTATTCTTGAGTTCAGTTACAATCTTTAAATTGTGAGAAAAGTTAGAATTTTATCAGCCAGAGAAAAAATGAAAGAGAACTGACAATGCCCCCCGCCACAAGAAACTCTTAACTTATCTAAGCTCTCTTAGGTTACTTTGGAACAGTTTTCTAATAGTAGAAATACTAGGGATTCAAACCACAGGAACTACATACTTTGGGAGAAATGCCAGTGACAGGACAAAATTTGACCCTTCTTAGCACCTGCTGCATCTCAAATGGGTAATGCAGTCAGTATTATTAGCCTACAGTTGTGTGTTTTGACAGAAAGACTTGACTACTCACTAAGCTCTCTGACAAAGATGGTGTCGATCTAGATGGGCTGCTTCAAGGAAAGTCAAACTATGTTTTCAGCTTCTCATTTCCTTTACAAAACCAGGTTTTG